TGTAATCTTTTGTATTTCTATGGTATCTGTTGTGATTTCTCCTCTTTCATTTCTAATTTTATTTATTTGAGTCTTCTCTCTTTTTTTCTTAGTGAGCCTGTCTAAGGGTTTGTCAATTTTGTTTATTTTCTCAAAGAACCAACTCTTTGTTTCATTGATCCTTTCTACTGTCTTTTTTGTTTCAATTTCATTTATTTCTGCTCTTTTATTATTTCCCTTCCCTCCTTCTACTGACTTTGGGCTTTGTTTGTTCTTCTTTTTCTAATTCTGTTAGGTGTAGTTTGAGATTGCTGATTTGAGATTTTTCTTGTTTATTGAGGTGAGCCTGTATTGTGGTGAATTTCCCTCTTAGGACTGCTTTTGCTGCATGCCAAATGAGTTGGTATGGCATGTTTTCATTTTCATTTGTCTCCAGATGATATTTGATTTCTCCTTTAATTTCTTCAATGATCCATTGGTCATCCAGTAGCATGTTGTTTGATCTCCAAATCTTTGCCCCTTCCCAGCTTTATTCTTGTAATTGATTTCTAGTTTCATAGCATTATGGTTGGAAAAGATGCTTGATATTATTTCAATCCTCTTGAATTTGTTGAGGCTTGCTTTGTTTCCCAACATATGGTCTATCCTTGAGAATGTTCATGCACACTTGAGAACAGTGTGTAACCTGCTGTTTTTGGATGGAGTGTTCTATATGTATCTATTAAGTCCATCTGGTCTAGTTTTTCGTTTAATTCTACAATTTCTTTGTTGACTTTCTGTCTGGATGATCTATCCATTGATGTAAGTGGGGTGTTGAGGTCCCCTACTGTTATCCTGCTGCTGTTGATATCTCCTTTTAGTTTTGTTAGTTAGTTGTTTTACCTACTTTGGTGCTCCTGTGTTGGGTGCATATATATTTATAAGTATTATGTCTTCTTGGTAGAGTGTCCCTTTTATCATTATAAACTGCTCCTCTTTGTCTCTCTTTATCTGTTTTGCCTTGAAGTCTACTTTGTCTGATATAAGTATGGCAACACCTGCTTTCTTATGTTAACTATTAGCTTGGAGTATCATCTTCCATCCCTTTACTCTGAGTCTGTGTTTGTCTTTGGTGCTGAGCTGTGTTTCCTGGAGGCAGAATATTGTTGGGTCTTGTTCTTTAATCCATCCTGCCACTGTGTCTTTTGATTGGAGAATTCTGTCCATTTACATTTAGAGTGATTATTGAAATATGGGGGTCTAATGCTGCCATTTTATTGCCGTTTTCTGGTTCTCCTGCATTTCCCTTGTTTCTCATCTTATGAGTTTCGGACTACCAATTCAGTTAGGTGGTTTTCTATGTTGGTTTCCTTCTTATTTGTAATTTGTGTCTCTGTTCTAATTGTTTGTTTAGTGGTTAAACCACAACATAGGAATTTTGGGGAGACACAATTCAGTACATAACAAGAGGCAAATGATTCATGTAAGATGTTAGATGTCCTTTCATTATAAAAAAGAGATCTCTGAGATTTGAAACAAGATTCTTATTAAAGATTGAAGGTTAAAAATACACCTTACACACACACACACACACACACACGCATTGCTATATTATAGCATGCCTAGAAACCAAAGAACAGAAATCGTCCTCCAATCTCACTTTTTTTGTGTGTGTTTGAGTAAGATTGGCCCTGAGTTAACATATGTTGTCAATCTTCTTCTTTTTGCTTGGGGAATATTGTCGCTGAGCTAATATCAGTGCCAATCTTCCTCCACTTTATGTGAGATGCCGCCATAGCGTTGCTTGACAAGCGGTGCTAGGTCTGCACCCGGGATCCAAACTCGTGAACCCTGGGCCACTGAAGCAGAGTATGTGAACCCAGCCACTATGCCACTGGGCCAGCCCTAATCTCACTTTCTTAATTGTTAGCATTTCGACATGTTTTATTATTCATACACACACAGAACATACTTGCATATTTCTTTATTCTTTATATATACATACAAAATACATCTTTATTCATATACACATGTATGCACATCAAAATACACATTAAGTGTATATTAAATAAACATTTCCCTATGATACTGTATAACCTTGAAAACTAATGTGATGACGAATATCTACAAGCATAATCTTTTTCTAAATAGGTTCCTGGAAGTGGAATTATAGCATCTAAAGGAAAAATATATGTATGAATATGTATAAAGAGCTCTTAGAACTTTTCATGGAGGTAATAGAGGAGCACATAGGTGTAGGTTATTGGTGGAATTCCAGTACTTGGGTTGTGTGGTAGATTTATAAAAGAGTAAACAATAAAGCAAAGAAAAAGCTTTTTTTCCTGGGATCAAGGTAGAGAAAGAGAAAGAGTTCTTTCAATTTCCCTAGAAATTTCTCCTCCATAGCCCTGAAAATAGTTTTAATAAACACACCAACTTGGCTTGAAAATCTTTAGTGTTTCCTTTTTTCTTGTCACAGGACATTGCTGCCCAACTTTTATTAACATTAAATTATTTAGCTTTTTTTACAGGTTCTACCTAGTCTAGAATTAGAAAAGAGTGCTAGAAGCAGTGAACTGGGCACTAAACTAGCTCCAGACAACATTTATGACAGCTTCTCATAATGATACTGTGCTGGTGTATTGGCTCTCTCTTCCAGCCACATGCCCCTTCTTGTCTTTTTCTTTTCCTTCTTTACTCTTTTTCCTTCTTATTTTCTGCCCTAAATCCCTTTTCTTATCTCCTTCTTGTGTTCTGTCTATCTTCTTTTTCCAGTTTTGTTTTTGCTTCTTTCCTTTGTGTATCAGTTCAGGTGATTTCAGGTTCAAGTAAGAGATATCTGAATCGAATGTGCTTATTCTGCCACATTGTCTAGAGCTAGGGCAGGCTCCATGGGTGGTGATACAGCAGCTCAACAATGTCATCATGGTTTCTGGTTCTGTTTGTCCTCTGCTGTGCCATGTTTGGTGTTGACTTCATTCTCAGGCTGGTAGCAGGTGACCACAGCAGTTCCAGACATCACATCTAGATGTGGTGATATTCACAGGAGAATGGACTAGCTCTTTCTGTTTCTCCACCTTTAAGAGTGAGGAAACTTTCCCAGAAACCCCTCCCTGACTTCCTCTTATGTCTCACTGCACAGAATGGGTCACATGCTGTTGGTGGGAACTCTTGGTGCCCTTCCTAGCTCCCTTTTCCTGGGCTGTTGCACCTATCCCTTAGCTGCTGGGACTATTGAGTAAACAACTCATAACTCTTGCCTTTTCTGGAGGATTATCCTTGGTTGAGTGAGAGCTTCTTCTCTCCCCTGCAGCTTGGTCAATGATTGACTCATATATAAGGCTAAGTAAAAAAAATGCCAACCCCCTTGCCTCAGGGTAATTTTAGGACCAACTTTATGGTGCTATTTACGCTCTAAGGCTCCTTGTAATTTAGCTCAAGCTAAATTATAGCTGAGGCCATCTTTGTTAGTTTCTTCCTTTGCATTTTCTGATTCCATTATCTCCTTTCTCCTGAGAGTACTCCCTCTATAAATCATGGGCAGCCTAATCCTTATCTCAGGCTCTGCTTCTGGGAATCAAGTCTAAGACACAAACTATTTCCTACATCAGTCATTGGCAGAGGGGATAGGACTACCATGATTAGCTTGGACTAGTCATTTGGGGTTACATGAATGTCTGGAAGCCAACCACAATAATCCTTGTACCTTTCTTTCCCCTCTTTCCTTCTTTCTTTCTCCATTCCACCACCTTAATTAGTCATTGTCGTGGATATTCTTTTAAAGGCTTAACAAAATACATGCCAATATAAATATGTTTTCTCTCACTCTGGACCTGGCCACCCACTTCCAAAAAAATTGTCCGTGAAAACCCTATGAATAGCAGTGGAGCATTGTCTGATATAGTTCCAGAATGTGAGAGGATGATGCAAAAAGACTGGGCAGGATTCCACTCTGCTATACACAGGGTTGCTAGGAATTGGAATCCATTAGACAGCACTAGCAGCAACAACTCTTTATGATGTGTCCAAAAATTTAGAACTGACTAGATGTGTTAAAAAATTAGTAAGCATTGGTCCAACCTGGGATTGACCTATTTAATTTTGAGAGAAGTGATCATTAAATTCCCTGACATTGTAAAATTCATGCTGTCTGTGTTAATGAAATAAGTGCATCTTTATTTACTTCTTACATTATTTATGTCTTTAGACAGCTTTTTCTAGTCTGTTATTTGAAACTTATCTGAAATTGTACTGTTCTACTATGTTGATGTATATATTCATTTGATATTATTATAATTATTGAAACATGCTAGTGTGTCTTTGAAAATTAATTAGCTAGAAGTTATTGAGTATGTAGTATATGCAGGATATATTAATCCATTACAGTCTGTGTCAACCTTTAGGATTAGTGAAGATCCCCATTTGATCTGATAACTTTGAAAGGTAATAATAATAGGTGCCATTCACTGAGTGTCTACTAAATGTCAGGCACTGTGCTGGGCACTTCACATACATTGTCTCTACTTTTCACTGTAATACCACTGGGAACTTATCTTCCTACTTTTATAAGTGAAAACATCCTGAATTTAACTTAAAGACCTTGTTCAAAGTCCACACAGTTATAATAATGTTAAGAATCACTAACAGTTACGGAACATTTATTGTGCTCTAGGCACTATTCTTAGGATATGGATTAACTCATTTGATTCTCACAAGCCTAGGAGCTACTATTATCTTCCTATTTTATGGGTAATAAAACTGGGTTAAGTAGCTTGCTCAGGGTTGCTCAGAGAGGAAGTGACGCGGGTGGCATTTGAAGCCAAGGAGTCAGACTCTAGAGCCTGTACTGAGCCACTATGCTGTACTAAATAGGCACTTAGTGCACAGTTAAAAATTTACGTGATTATTAATTTTTTTAACTTGATTTGGCTGTTCTTTCTCAGTTTTAGGGACTTTGCTTGTACACTTTACTACATGCATTACAGAGAGACCTGATATTATAAAACACAAACTTGACTTTCTCATCACTTTTATCTCTTTAGGTACTCCAGTTCAGAATGATCTCCAAGAATTTTTTGCATTAATTGATTTTGTAAATCCGGGGATATTAGGCCCTTTGTCATCTTATAGAAAAATATATGAAGAACCCATCATTCTATCGAGACAACCTTCTGCTTCTGAGGTATGATTTGCTTTAATAAGTAGGTTAAAAAAGAACAGTATGTCTGGGAAAATCATCTATGTCTTGGATATTATTTTAATTTAGGAAAAGTTAAGTTAATATAGTGAATTCTTTTTCTACAATCTTTCTACTCTTGCGTTCTTTATTTTAGAAAATGATTTCATAACTTTTTAAAAATTCATAAATAGGCTCTACACAGAGAATTATAAATGATAGTAAACATATAAAAATGTTCATCTTTACTGTTATTGGAAAAAGTAAACCAAAATAACCATGAAGTAACTTTGGTACTTTTCTACTGATGTTTTAGCCGGTTGGATTTACATAGTAATAGGAAGTGTAGATGAGAGTACTGTCCTCTACTGGTTGGAACGTAAATTGGTATGACTGGAGGATAGTTTGGCAATGTGCATCAAAAGCCTTAAAATTGTGTGTATCCTGTAGCCTGGCAATACCACTTTTAGGAATTTATTATAAAGAAATAATCATAGATGTGGCTAAAAATTTAGCTATAAAGGTATAAAGTTAGAAACAAACTAAAGGAAGTAAACAAACGAATTGGAAACAAGCAAACATATCTAAAGGTAGAAAATGGTTAAATTAGAATCTGCACTGAATCTAAGATACTGCCAATTTTAGGATGCACCATTATTTTATGTACCACTAAGGAAAACATGCTATCAGTTATAATTGTAAGAAGTCACTGATTGTAAAGCATCTTATTTCAGAGAAGTTAAAGTGTAAAAAAGTGTGTATCTCAGAATTAATAGGGTATGGTAATCAGTCAAACAATATTTATTGAGCATTTCCCATGAACCAGGAACTATACAAAATAATGGTTTATGCATATATTTAATAGCATAGAAAATGTTCATGATACATTATTTTAAAATAAAATCACATTCATGTATTTACCCAATACTTATGTGTTAAAAAGTGGGCCAAATGCAAAGTGCTAGATCCTGAGGAGTACAGTGATAAGCCACACTGGCTGGTTTCTTGTTCCTATGAAGCTTTATGGTTTGAGATCCTGTTTGTCTTACAAATAAAAATAAAATATCAAATATATTTGCATATTTATGCAAAAAAAAAGACTTGGAAGATATACATAAAAGTCTGACAGCACTGATTGTTTCTGGTTGATTAAAGTTGGTTTTAATTTTCTTATTTTTGCCAAACTATATTTTCTGAATTTTTTTCAGTGAACCTATTTCTCTTGTAACAAAATTGAAAATAGTTTTAAAATATAATGGACATTTTCTTTGATTTATATAGAAATAAATGTGTGCATATGGGATTTATTTTAAGCTTCACTGTAAAGTTCTATATACTCAAAAGATTCTGTATAGAGAATTTAAACGTATATTTCATTCATACTGTATTTTGACTTAAAAAATGTGCTATTACTTAATGAACAATGTGTAATGATTTTGAGAGAATCAGCAGTGCCTTGGGCCAGTAATTTCTTGTAGTTAAGTTTTAGGATCAGTAACTTGTCAAAATATTTTCTTCCAAGAATTTGCTAATTTATTAGTTGTTTGCTATTGATTTTAAGACTCTTTACCATTACAGTATTCACATAAAATCTTACTTCCAGAATAATTTAGTTTGTAGATTATTGATTTCTGATGCCTCTCAGTGGTGGCAATAGTGGCAAGGATTAGGAGACTGTGGCTTCACTTAATAAAATGATAACGCTGCACATCTAAAGAGATGATGGTTGGTTTTTCTATCCCAAACTTGTATTTCATTTCTTCTGTTAAAAAAAATAATCTGAAGGGAAGTAATTAGTAAATGGTGTTTCATTATAAAATGTTTAATGTTCATTTTAACTGCAAGTATTTTGGTCTGTAACACATTATTTTAAATCTGCTATTTTTCCATAGGAAGAAAAGGAATTAGGAGAGAGAAGAGCAGCTGAACTTACTTGCCTCACTGGACTCTTTATCCTTAGAAGAACCCAAGAAGTCATAAATAAATATCTTCCACCTAAAATAGAGAATGTAGTCTTTTGCCAACCAGCAGCACTACAGATTGAACTTTATCGAAAGCTGTTGAATTCTCGGGCTGTCAGGTTCTGTCTTCAAGGGCTGTTGGAAAATAGTCCTCATCTAATATGTATTGGAGCTCTTAAAAAACTGTGCAATCACCCCTGCCTTTTGTTCAACTCTATAAAGGTAAGTAGTGTGTGAGACTGTGTCAGGGATGTGAGCTGAGGGTTCTATGTCATATGAATGTAAGAGGACAGATTGGACTAATCCATGGGGTTGCATTTGTGGGTTTTCCAAAAGCTGTGCAGCCTCTGAGTATGGCTGTGGTATAGAGCTTGTTCAGACTTCTCCTTGTTCTTCAGAGCATGTCCGCATTCTCAGAGCTGAACTAGGGAGGAAGTGTGTTTGAGGCTCTGCCTTCTAGAGTTTATGCCCTGTGCCCTTCAGTACCCTGTCTAATACTTTATTGTGGTCTCCCTTCCTATTTTATACTAATATAACCAGTCAGTTTTGTTTGTTTGGTGCTAACAGATACAAAATTTACCATTAAAAAATAATTTATTTTTTCCTTATTATAAAAAAAAAATATGATTGTTGTATGAAACTTATAAAACTCAGAAAATCACAAAGAAGAACATAAAAATAATCTACTGGTTAAAATGACAATTGGTATGACTGGAAGATAGTTTGGCAATGTGTATCAAAAGCCTTAAAATTTGGTGTATCTTGTGGCCTGGCAATACCATTTTTAGGAATTTATTATAAATAAATAAAGCTCTCCAGCCAGGGAAACCCACATTTTGGTATTAATAATAATAATCTTAGCTAACACTTACTGAGCACTGAGCATGTGCCAAAAACTAAGTACTTTTCTAGTATTATTTTATTTATTCTTCACAAAATTGTGTGGAATTATTACTGTCCCCATTTTTGGTGAGCAAACAGGGGCTCAGAGATATGCAGATTTAATCCTTTTCTCGAGAAACTTAATTTTAATGATGCTATCCTTATTATTTTAAATTCTACTGTTTTTTTCACTGAATAAGTTGTGAACATTTTCCCAAATTAGATACCTTCTACAAGTATAATTTTTAATGGCTATGTAGTTGAGCTGACCATTTGGATATTTAATGTATACAAGGCAGTTTGGAGTATAGTGAGAGTTTGCTGTTTTGGAGTTGAAACTGGATGTCTGTCCCTGCTCTACTACTTTCTAGTTCTTTAACTAAAGGCAAGTTTAACCATGGTCAAGTTACATCTGTGAGCCTTAGTTTTCTTAACTGAAAAGCAGAGACAATAGTAACTTCCTGATAATGCTATTGTGGCAATTTGATGAAATAGTATAGAAAGAACCTAGCAGAATGCCTGGCTATGAAAGTTGCACAGTAACTATTAAGGTAACTATTAATAAGGGTGAGTTATCCCCAACTCACCCTTAACAATTTTTATTCTTTTATTTTTTTTTCTTTAAACAGTAGAATCATAATTTGCAAACAAAACAAAAGGAAACCTGTGGGTGCAACATTATGCTTGAGATCATTAATTATATACTTTGAGATGGAGTGTTCTACCAAAATTATCCACGTTTATCCTACAATGGATTATATTTAACATCATTTATCATAGGAGAAGTCAGCTTTCTGTAACTGCAGTAGACAGGATTATTACAATTTATTAAGCAACTTTTTAAGAAACAGATTCTATATACAGTGATAAAAATTAAACCCGTGGGGCATGATGCCCAGCAAAAAATAGAAGCCAAAAGTTCTTCCATAAAAGGAAGAACTTATGATGGCCCAGAACGCACCAGTTAACTAGTAATAGATATAGGATATTACAAACTTCAAATAGGGTGCATAGTTTGCAATCTGAGACTTATTCAGTAAAGCCTTTCCTCTAACATCATAACATATAAGGAGCAGTATAGAATGGCTGAAAGTAGCCTTCTAAATGTGGAAGTAAACTTCAAACAATGGTTTATAAATGTGTTCTATTGAAACTAGATTGTTCCCCAAGTTCAATCAAGGTGATGGACTTTTCTTCAGGAAATATGAAGGGAATGTAACCAATAAAAATATCCCAACTCATAACCAAAGGGTACTGGGCTGCATAGAGTTAGAGAAGAGACTGCCCTGACTAACTGATATGAGAAGTATAAAATCTCTGCTATGGAGGTGGTGCATCAGGTTGTCTCAGCATAAAGATGTTATTTATTATTTGATTCTTTTTTTATTTTGAGGAAGATTAGCCCTGAGCTAACATCTGCCGCCAATCCTTCTCTTTTTGCTGAGGAAGACTGACCCTAAGCTAACATCTGTGCCCATCTTCCTCCACCTTATATGTGGGATGCCTACCACAGCATGACTTGATAAGCGGTGTGTAGGTCTGCACCTGGGACCCAAACTGGCAAACCCCCGGCCACGGAAGTGGAATGTATGAACTTAACCACCGTGCCACCGGGCTAGCCCCTTCTTTGAGTCTTAGTTAGGAGTACACGTTAAAATCTTCTGGGAAGCTTTTACAACTACATTTGTCCAGGCCTCAACACATATGGACTGATTCAAAATCTATGAGATTAGAACTCAGGCATGAGGATTTTGGAAAACTTTTGCAAGTGATTCTGATTACGTGTTCCTAGCTAAGAACACGTGCATTAAGATCACTCATCTCCCTTGTATTTTAATTTAATATTCACCAAACAACTTTCTACTAATGATTTGGCTTCCCCTATGGACCTTCTTTCATAGGACAGAATGTGTAGACCAATTGGTTTAAATAGGCCGGTCTCATTTATGGGCTGATTTATATTCTGATTTATTCAGTCTCTTAATTTGGTTAGTATGATTCATTTCCCTAGAGCTTAGGCATATTCAAGTTTCCGAACATGAAAAGCTGTGGACTAGTCTATGGTCCTGTGATGACCTCGCCAAGGTGTAGGCATTTTAGGAAACCTAACCTGAAGCAGCCAACAACCATCTCTTTCCCCTTGTATATCCCAGTGATATAAATATCTTAGGATTCTAAGTATTTTTAATAAAGTGATTTTACCCAAATATTGCAATATTTTGGGAATAAGCCAAATTAAAATTAGTACTTTGTGTCCAGCATTTTTCACTGCATGATTCACTGCCCTTAAGATGTTTCTAGTATAATTAAAGAAGGAATACAACACACATGCAAACATTAAGGAAGTATAAAAAGTATATAATTAATGGCTCAATTAAATAAAATCAAAGCTTACATGTTAACCATAAAAGTTAAGACTCAATGCCAACAAAAAAGGAGCTATGAATAATCAGGTAGAACTTGCATTGGGTCCTCAAGTATTTATAGGATTGGGATAATTGAGCAAAAAAATGAGGAAGCATTCCAGGCAAGGGAAGTAGGTTGAACAAAGTTTCAAAAAAAGTAATAAATCTTGTAAATGTGGGAGAGAGCGAGGAGACCTGCCAGTTCCAGAAATTTAACCTAAAAAATGATGTAGTCATTAATAAATGTAATCTCTAGTTATGTGTTCACATGTTAGCTAGGCAGTTTCGGAGGGGAATTTCACAAGTGGTGATAATCTCCTTGGAATAAAATCATTCTACAAACTATTGGTAAAATAAACAAGAAATATTGCTGTAAGAATAAATTTCTGTTAACTTGTTGGCAGAATTGTTCCTTCTTGCAGAAGAAATTGGTAAGATTGAGTGAACTGTTGTGCTTGTTTTTGAGTATCACCTGGGAGGTGCTTGTGAAGCCCACAAATCAGGAGAGAAAAGTAATAGCAGGAAGGGAAGGAGAGAAGAAGAGAGAAAAAGAGGTATCAGTGACGGTAAATCTCAGGGTTCTGGAGAGGATAGATTTGGTAGCGCTGTTCGCCCTCTATTTTCTTTGCAAAGCCCCTCCCCCACAGTTACGCGGGGGCTGTAGGGTGAGCTAGCAGGCATTAGGAAACTGCCTTAGGACTGCTCTGTAATTAACTCAGTAGGATGCGTGCTACTTTTATCAAAAATGACCAAAATGCGACCTATAAAGATTTACATAAAATTATGTTGGGTTTTTCAGGTAGCTATTAATCTTCACTTTTCCCCCCATAATTTTAGCATTTTTTTCTACCAGTTAAAAAAACAAACATAAACCAGTATTAACAATCATCCTTTTGAATAGGAAAAAGAATGCAGCTCAACTTGGGATAAAAATGAAGAAAGAAGTCTATATGAGGGCTTGATAAATGTGTTCCCTGCTGATTACAACCCATTCATGTTTACTGAGGAAGAGTCAGGCAAACTACAGGTGCTGTCAAAGCTCTTAGCGGTCATCCGAGAACTGTGTCCTGCTGAAAAGTAAGAGGTCAATTTAATAAACTGCTTAGAAGTGCTCATGGAATTTTGGCTTAGATTGTGTCCTTAGTCCTTCTCCCCCTTTTTAAAAAAAGATATTAAAAATAAGTTGTTTTCTTCTTTGGGGGCATGGTCAGCTCCCGTATTTTGTAAACTTATCAACGGTGTCTGTAAGTTTTTATTTAAGAAAAACTGAATGTAAAGTAAATACATATATTAAAAAAAACCCTAGGAATGTCTTTTGATATGTAACACTCAGCTTGTTTCTTAATCTCTTTCAGAATCCTTTCTTCTTTTCCTGTCCCTTAAATGTTGATACTCCTGAGGGTTTTCTCTTTAGCCTCCTTCTCACTCTTCAAGCCCTTCCTGGGTTAGCTCTACTCCCCATAGTTTCAACTATCATCCATATAGTTTTGATTCCAAATCTGCATCTCTAAGTCCAACCCTCTCTTCTAGTTTCCATATCTTTCTTTCTAACTGTTTAACAGGCATCTAAATCTATCTTGATGTCCTATTGGACTTTAGCCTTCACATGTCCCAAACCAGCTACATCATTTTGCCATTGCAAGCCTCATCCTTTTTTATTCCTTGGCTCAATGAATAGTACCATAATGCAAGCAAAAAACCCTCATCATTCTAGACTCACTTTTCTCCTTCACTTCCCCAACATCATCGGTCACTAAATTCTATTGATTTTATTTCTTAATCTCAAGAGTCCATTTCCTTGTTGGTACGAAGATTTTTGTTTTGATTCTTGCAATTACTGAGTGGGTTATGGTGGTCTCCTATAAACTACTCCCCTCTTACTTCAACTCCATTGCATATCAACATTGCCCTAAATTATATTTCTAAAATATAAATGTGAACATCACTCCTTTTCATAAAAATTATTCAATTTTGTTGTCTTGCAGAAATTTCTAAACTTGTTGGCATGTTGAGCAAGACTCCTCAATACCTTCTCTTCCAGCCTCATCTCTCACCAATTTCTCACACTTACCATGTGGTCCAATCATAGCAAACTACCTGCAGAACCTGTAATTTGCTCTACTTTTCACCCTCTGCTCCTACATGTTGTAGGTTTCTATGGCTAGTTTACCTCCACGTTTCATTCTTCTGGCCAACTTTTTCTCTTCATAAAGACTTAGCTCAAATGCTTTCTCCTCTTGGAAGCTCTTGGCCTTAGATTGAGTAGTTAGATGCCCCTCTTCTGTACTCCCTTAGCATCCTGATACCTTTGAGCTCTTCTCACATGATGTTGTAGTCATTGGTTCTTTATATGTCAGTACCTATAGTGCAGGGACTGTGTCTTAATTATCTTTTTAGGAGTTATTCAAACTTTGTTTATGAATTACGGCAAAAATACATAGAAAAGATTGCAAAATAATAGTTACATTTAATTGCCAAGAAATCTTAACCTCTTTGGAGCATTTATAATATCATTTGACTTGTGCAAATTTTTAGATTTATTTTTCCTATCAATGAAGTGACTAAAACAAGGAAGCTTTCTGTGAAATGTTTAATACAGTTTGATTAAAATGTTTTATTAGATAATATTTGATATGTACAAAAGAACATGTATAATATATATATATGCAGGTGGTAATCGGGTTTGATTTTAAAAAGGGTAAAGTTTTACTTAGACTTTTATTTGTACCCTTTATAAAAAAATTGTTTTATTTAGGTTATGATAGTTTACAACATTGTGAAATTTCAGGTGTACATTATTATTAGTCAGTCACCGTATATATGTGCCCCTTTACCCCTTATGCCCACCCCCAACCCCCTCCCCCTATGGTAACCACTAATCTGTCCTCTTTGTCCACGTGGTTATCTTCCACATATGAGTGAAATCATGTGGTATTTGCACTTTTTTAAACTGGATCCTTTTTTCCCCTCTTCTCTGAGCAGAGATAGGTGGTGGTTGTTGGGCAAGGAATAACGAGTGAACAGGGTTTTAGAGGAAATGAGAATTGGGAAGGTATGAAAATTTATCTTTGGAGGTGTCCTAGGGGAAAGTTTCCCTCTTGTGGAGGTAAGAAAGGAATGGTGAGGAAAAATATAATTTGGGAGTAGGGGTTAGGATGGAGTCATTTTGACTGCTTGTGAGTCCTTAAGAAAACTGAATCCTGCCTTGGCCCATGAAAGAAGAAACAGCACTTCCATCAGTGGCACATACTGGGTGTTCTCTTGCTTCACATTATCTGGAGAGATGGCCCTTTTAAAAAAAACTACAGTAACATATATATAACATAAATTTACCACCTTAATTATTTCTAAGTGTATTTTTCAGTAGTGTTAGGTTCATTTACATTGTTGTGCAACCCATCTCCAGAATTCTTTTCGTCTTGTGAAACTGAACTATACCTATTAAATAACAACTCCCCATTCCTGCCTCCCCCCAGCCCCTGGCAACCACCCTTCTACTTTCTGTCTCTATGAATCTGACTACCCTAGGCACCTCATGTAAGTGGAATCATATAGTATTTTGTCTTTTTGTGATTAGCTTATTTCACTTAGCATAATGTTCTCAAGGTTCATTCATGTCTTAGCATATGCTGGACTTTCCTTGCTTTTTAAGGCTGAATAATACTCCATTGTATGTATATATCACATTTTGTTTACCCATTCATCTGTCAGTGGACAGTTGGGTTGCTTCCACCTTTTGGCTATTGTGAATAATGCTGCTGTGAACATGGGTTTACCAATTTATCTTTGAGACCTTGCTTTCAGTTCTTTTGGGTATATATCTAGAAGTAGAATTGTTAGATCATATGGTAATTCTCTTTTTAATGTTTTGAGAAGCCAGCATACTGTTTTTCATAGCGGCTGCACCAATTTATATTCCCACCAACAGTGCGAAAGCGTTCCAATTTATGCACATCCTTGCCAACATTGTTATTTTCTCGTTTGTTTTTTTTTGATTGTAGCCGTCCTAATGAGAGTGATTTTGTGGTTTTGATTTGCATTTCCCTAATGACTAGTGATGTTGGGCATCTTTTGATATACTTGTTGGCCATTTGTATATTTTCTTTGGAGAAATGTCTATTCAAGTCCTTTGCCCATCTTTTAAATTGGACTATTTTTTTGTTGTTGTTGAGTTGTGGCGTTTTTTTTATATGGCCATGTGGGTGTAAAGACCAAGTTTTCTAGGGCTGAGCTGCCTATGCACAAGTATTCTCCTAAACCTTTAAAAATATGTATCTAAAAGTTACTCACAATGTTTGACTTCAGGGATAGTATTACTGTCTACACTTGAACTATGGTGTTATCATTAACTAGAGCCAAATAGTTACATTTTAGGTCTACAGGCAGAACTCTTCTAGCATATACTGTGCTTTTGTGCATATTAAGATAATTAGAACTGAGTGGAGGCATATCTGAGAACTCCTGACTTGTTCAGCAGGTGGCCCTTTTATTTTTAAAAAGAATACTTAAAAAAAAAAAATTCCTCTTCCCTCCTGGTTGTTGCATTCGTGTACTAGGCTTCATGGCTTGGTGAGCAAAGTTCCTGCTGGATTCCAACCCCCGTGCATCCCTTGGTTGGACACTCTTGTGCTGGGTGGTACTTGCACTCTACTATATGTGGCAGGCTTACCTACAGATTTCAACTGCTTTAGGGGACACTCTAATGACCACAAAAATAATAGCCTTGTTTCAAAATGGTATGGGGGGGGGGGCGGGGAAGAGCTCTAGACCTCTAAAAAGGGATTGTCCAAGACTCCTTACCAAGACGGTCACCTATCCCATCGATCTACATCTAGCCTTACAAGAACTTCTTGGAGAAAAATATTCCAAAGCCAGATTTCCTTCAGTCCAGTAAAGTTGTATCAGACAAACTGTGTTTAGATAGTGTTATTTATCCCCATAATAGTGTAGAGAAAGGAAGGGAAAACTGATTGAAATACTAATATAGGTGTTGTAGTAGATTGCAAAAATGGTGTTAAATTCTTTCCCTCCCTATATCGATGTTCGTTTGTGGTGTAACTTTGAGTGGGTCTCCCACTCTGACTCTGAGCTCAGACACATGACTTGCATTGGCCTGTGAGATGTTGGCAAATATGGCACAAAAAGAGGCTTGAAAAGCTCTTGTGCAGTGGGGCTTGTCCTCACCCATGGTTCCTGGAAACTTCCTGTCACCATGTGAATAAGCCAGGGCTAGCCTGGTAGAGGATGAGAGACCACGTGGAGCAGAGACAAGGCCTCCCAGCTGGGGCCCCTCACTAGACCAGCCTGTCCCCAGTTGACCTGGCAGCTAACCCCAGATGCTTGAGTCAGCCCCGCCATGAGCAGCAGAGGAACCTCCTAGTTGATCCCAGCCCAAATTGCCAATCTGTGGAGCTAAATATAAAATAAATGGCGGGGCTGGCCCCGTGGCCGAGTGGTTAAGTTTGTGCGCTCCACTGCAGGCGGCCCAGTGTTTCATTGGTTCGAATCCTGGGCGCGGACATGGAACTGCTTATCAAACCACGCTGAGGCAGCGTCCCACATGCCACAACTAGGAGGACCCACAGCTAAGAATATGCAACTATGTACTGGGAGGCTTTGGGGAGAAAAAGGAAAAAATAAAATAAAATCTTTGGAAAAAAAATAAATAAATGGCTGTTGTTTTAAGCCACTGAGTTTTGTTTGGGGTAGTTTGTTGTATAGCAAAAGGTAATTGATACAGGAATACAAATATAAATTTTGGGGGGATTATCCTTACCTCATTAGCATAGATAATTAAGAAAATTATAACTGTTAAAATTGCTTTATTTTAAAAATTACTAGTGCTAATAATTATCCCACTAGCTATAAAATTTATAGGAAATATTCTTCATCTATTTTTTATTTTTTACTTAATTATAAAACTTTAGCTATTATAATAAATATTGGTTTTAGTTTTTACCTTATATTATTGTTTATAGTTTTATTTTTTTTAAGTGTTAAAAGGCTTATTATAAGACAGCAGTCCATGGTTCCATCTCTCCCCCTTTGTGTCGTGTTTCTCAGAGTCAATCACCGGA